GCGGATTTGGACTGTACTCAGCAAGCGCAGTACAGCCCCCCAACTCAGATTTGAAAAGAAATCAGTGGATGGCTGTTTTCTGACTGGTCGGCAGACCGCAGACCAGTCGGCCCTACTGGTCGCCTGCAAAACGGTCGGGTCGGGGTCGGGGTCGGCGGTCGGCAGGTGTGCAAACCTGGTTTGGGACACGTGTTTTCTTCGTTTCTGTTTGGTGTGCTTCTGTGTCGTCTGCTTGGTCTGTTTGGTGTGCTTCTGTGCCGTCTGCTTGCTCTGTTTGGTGTGGTTGTGTGCCGTCTGCGTGGTGTGCTTGTGTGTCATCTGCTTGGTTTGTTCAGTGTCCTTGTGTGTCATCTGCTTGGTGTGCTTGTGTGTTGTCTGCTTGGTATAGTTGTGCGTCGTCTGCCCTCCCTCCTTCCCCATGCCCTCCAGCCTTTGTCCTTTGTTCCTGTTTCAAGTTGTCATCCTATGCCTTGTTGCATCATGTCTTTCCCCCATGCCCTCCAGCCCTAATCAGTGATGGTTAGGTAGGTAGAGAAAGGTGAAACTCAGAGAAGACTATAGCTTAGTTTTCAAAAAGAAAGAAGTAGAACACTCATGCAGCAACAGCAACTCGTCACGTGCAGTCACATAAGGCTGATGACATGCACCAAACCAAAGCATCAATGAACGCCTCATTGTCAGCACAGACCCCACTCGTGCTATGTTCATGCCTGGAAAGCATCAACCTGGCTGGAACACCGGCCAGGTTGCGATCACCGTAAAGAATGCTGAGCCGCTGCCCAGGATAGACGATCTTTTAGATCGGGTGCAGGGTTGCAAGTATTTCTCTAAGATAGACTTAAAATCCGGGTATCATCAGATAGAGGTCCATCCTGATGACCAGTACAAGACTGCGTTCCGGACGAGATACGGGCATTATGAGTTCATAGTGATGCCCTTTGGACTAACCAACGCGCCAGCTACTTTTCAGCGTTGTATGAATGACCTGAATAGACCATGGTTAGATAAATTTGTAGTAGTCTACTTAGATGATATCCTAGTCTTTAGTAAGACCCTCCAGGAGCACCAGGGTCATCTGAGGCAGGTCTTGGAGAAGCTTAGAGAGGCTAACTTCAAGATCAACGCGAAGAAGTGCGAGTGGGCCAAGACGCAAGTCTTATACTTGGGCCACGTGTTGGACGGAGATGGCATTAAGCCAGAGGACAGCAAGATCGCGGCGATCAAAGATTGGCCGACACCCCGCACATTGACAGAGTTGCGGTCGTTCCTAGGCTTAGCTAACTACTATAGGAAGTTCGTAAGGAACTTCTCTACTATCACCGCTCCCTTGCGCAGGTTGCTGAAGAACGAGGCAATCTGGCAATGGGACAAAGACTGTACATCTGCGCTCAAGAAGCTAAAGCGCGCGTTAATAGAATATCCTGTCCTCAAAGTTGCAGATCCGTCTTTGCCATTTGTCGTCACCACGGACGCGAGTCAATATGGGATAGGCGCCGTGTTGCAGCAAGACGACGGCAATGGCTATAGACCCGTAGAGTTCATGTCAACGAGGATGCCCTGTGAGAAGGTCGCTACCTCCACGTACGAGAGAGAACTCTACGCTCTCAGGCAGGCTTTAGACCATTGGAAGCATTACCTGCTTGGGAGGCACTTCAAAATCTATTCGGACCATGAAACGCTTAGATGGCTAACGACCCAGGCCAAGATGACACCTAAGTTGACTAGGTGGGCCGCAGAGATAGACCAATTCGACTTTGAGCTCAAGCCAATGAAGGGCAAGTACAATGTAGTGGCGGATGCTCTAAGTAGGAGATCAAACTACTTTGGAGCCGTAGTACATTATCTGGATATAGGGAGAGACCTGCAGGAGAAAGTGAAACAAGCGTATACGCAGGACCCTATCTATAACGACCTCCTAAAGAGAGTTAGAGACACCCCAGAGACCGAACCAGATTACCGCACTACAGACGGATTGCTGTTTGAGAAGACTAATGTGTTTGACCGCCCGTGCGTTCCCAACAGCGAAGAGATTCGTAGTCTAATTCTAGGGGAATGTCACGATACTGAGGGACACTTCGGTTGGCAAAAGACGTTAGCCAATCTGATGCGTGCGTACACATGGCCAGGGATGAAGAATGACTGCATAGAGTATGTCCGCAGTTGTAAAGTGTGCCAGAGAAATAAGTCTACTACACGCG